GACCTTAGATAGACACCAACTCACTACTGGACTCACAAATTTGTTTTTCTCTTTTGAAATTCTCTCCTTCAGGCAAACTGTTGAGAACACGAACAGTAATTCAGGCCCCTCAAGGTGATGGGAGGCCATGTCCGTCTCAGATGAAACAATGGAAGCCTTGTCTGGTCAAACCCTGCTACAGCTGGCGATACAGCCCCTGGTCTGACTGCAAGTCCGAGGTAACAAACTCTTCATCTTTTCTCATTGCAATGTGTTGGTCTGGACTTTATTAAGGAGTATCAGAGAAAAGGGGAGTAAACTGAAAAAAGAATCACTGGTCTTTCGTACAGGATCATTTCCCTTACTCAGAATGCTAATCTTTAACACATCACCCAGTTAGAAATTAGGAGTTTAAATAAGAGAATGTGAAAAGTTAAAGGTCAGATCGAGAAGCAGCCCAACAGATGTGGATAATTTTACGCCGTGGCGGGAAACACAGACACTCCGACTGATTAGTTTGTTCGGCTGACTTCTATATTCTATAATGAGGAGAGAGAAGCAATCCGACTGCCAGCTGGAGAATCCAGGAACTTCTTGAGATTAAACTGAGGAGGTGAGGTTGGAACTTTGGTAACCAGTGGGTATTGAACCACGGCATCACGAGGAGAGAGGATTCAGAGCTAGGTCTTCACAAGGAGGATCCACAGAGTCACGAGGAAACCCCTGAGGAAAAGGCAGACAATGAGATACTATTACTTAAGGCAGTCTACAGGGAAAGTCACAGAGAGTTTCTCCTTGGGAAGCTAGAGTACCATAACTGGCAAACACTCAGGCAACAAGGTGCTGGCAGTCTGCTTCCTCTTAACTCTGGATGATTAAACTACCGTTCAAAAGTTTGGGGTCACCCAAACAATTTAGTGTTTTCCTAAAAAGTCACACTTATTCACCACCATACGTTGTGAAATGAATAGAAAATAGAGTCAAGACATTGATAAGGTTAGAAATAATGATTTGTATTTGAAATAAGATTTTATTTACATCAAACTGCTTTCGTCAAAGAATCCTCCATTTGCAGCAATTCCAGCATTGCAGACCTTTAGCATTCTAGCTGTTAATTTGTTGAGGTAATCTGGAGAAATTGCCCCCCACGCTTCCAGAAGCAGCTCCCACTAGTTGGATTGGTTGGATTGGCACTTCTTCCTTATTCAGAATCCCTTTTACCCTGTACAAAT